CAGCACCCAGGCCCAGAGTTCAGGCCCCAAGACTGGATCCAAAAAAAAAGTAATGGTAGCAAAAATTCCACTGTCTGAGTAAAAACAACACTCGCTGAGCACTCCTAGACTCATGACTGCTGACATATAAACATGAACTTGTGACTCACTAGTTTAAACCATCAGAGTTTCAAGGCTGAATTCCTTCTACTGTGAGACCCTTCTGATCTGATATCCACATTTCCCTGTTTTCTACCATTTTGCCTTTATTAGAAACAACCCAAGCTAGAATAATTTGTGTCTCTTCACTACAGCATTTTTTTAAAGAATATGTAGCGGCACATATTCTGTCTTTTATCCTAAGGAATTTCTAACTCTTACCACCTGTCCTGTGCCAATTCAGATCTTGTCTTCTGTCAAACCACAGCCATATTCTACTCATAACCCTCAGCTAAAACCCCTCTGGTTTTTATAACATTTGGAACCTGACAGCATCATTTCACAATAGTATGCATAATGTTGCTTAGCTGTCACTAGCCTTAGATTGTGAACACCTGGATGTTTCATCCTTTATATTTCTAATTTTCTCTGCTATTGGTTACAGGTCCTGATTCAAATTTAACACTCGATAAGTAAATGAGTTGTGATGTTTAATTAAGATCAGGTATCTCACCAAACTGCCTTCTGCTTATTTTTCTTCAAGGACTTGGGGAGCAGGCCATCTTGGTTGTGTCTGGCTTGGAGACTTCAGTTCAGTTATTCAGTGGTCAAATCTGTGGGCAGGTGTACTCAAGAATATAGCTTACACTTGTCTTTGTCATGTTGCTTGAAAGGAATTTCAGAAAACAATCAGAAAGGAAAACGGCAAGAAATAAAGCAGAGATTTTGGAGCAGTCTAGCTTGAATCCTGGAAAACTGCTTCTGTGTGAAGTTCAGGATACCAAACCTTTGATTCTGGAACTAGGCAAGATTCTAGGGTCCAGACAAATTATAAAGAAATAAAAACTTATTATGTCATTGAATCTAGAAGTAATGCAGCACCATTTCAAATTTAAAATTCACAGGTTACTTCACAGCCTATATCTTTCTATGATTTTCCTCTTTCTTTTGTCTGTTTACCACTTGTCCCTAGCCTTTCTTGTGCCCAGCCTGGCTTTCACTCTTGCTCTTGAGCTGTTTTATGGCAGCAACCTCTGCCAGCTTTGTTTGTTGACTCCTCCCACAGTCTCATGCAGGCAGAACCTAGAGCTGGATAGGTCCCAACCTTGATTTTCTTCCTTTCTCTAGTGAAATAACCATTAGCTAGGACTTTCTCATTAAGGTACGATTATTCAGGGATACTGGTAAGAGCAGCAAAGCACACACAAACACACACACACACACACACACACACACACACACAAATGTAATTTGTAGTGATAGTTCATAGTAAGCTCTAGAGATAAGTAAAATATATTCTCCACCTTCACATGAGATCCATACAAGCATATGTTGGTAAAGACAAAAGTTTTGTCTTCTGTGTAGCCTAATTTTGGCTTTTTCAGCCTTTTAGATTTATCTTGATTCTCTGTTTTGGATTGTTTCAAACCGCTCTTCGCACTCCCATATTTTATGAATAAGCATTGAGAGTAACTTGAGTAGGGGCTTAGAAGGAGGAATATCCATCCTTAAATACCAATAACAAAACAAATTAGAATCCACAGCCTAGAGCAGCAGGAGATAAGACAAAGTCCAAGTGGAACGGGCAGTGAATAGTATTTCTACTCCAAATTAGAACACAAACTTCTATATCTTCTGCCCCAATCTTCCTTTGACTTTCATTACCATCAGATTAACAAAAACATTAACAGCCATGATTTGGCTGTGGGTCTGAGGAAAAGGACAGAGATTACTTGGGCTTCTCCAGGTATAAGAATAAGACTAGTGGAATAAGAAATGACCTTATGTCCCATGACTAGTCTAGGGTGAATGACCAATAGAGGTTTGAAGGCCCAGATCTAAGGTGTGAAAAATGTGTCTTGACCTCATACAACTTGGCCTTCCCCCTTCATACAACCCTACGAAACCAGTAAGTCAAATCCCAGTTTATTGACTGGTGGAGGTATGTGAATCATGGTTCAAAGCCACCCTAGGCATAAAGTTAATGAACCCCCATTTCAATCAATAAGCCAGCTGTGGTAATTAGCACACATGATCTCAGCAACAGAAGATGACATAGGATTGTGATCTGAGGCTAGCCAAGCAAAAACATGAAACACTGTCTAAAAAGTAAGATAAAAGAGAGTTTATAGGCATGGCTTGAATGGTAGACTACCTGCCCAGGAAGTATGAGGCACTGAGTTCATACCTCAGTTCTGCCAGTAAAAGAAAGAATAAAAAGGAGGGAAAAAAGTGAGCATGTGAGGTAATCATAGCTGTAGTTACTGGACAGTATTTGGAGATTTTTTTCATTTTTCTGTTAGGTACTCATATTTAAAAAATACGATGAGCAAAGATTATAAGAAAAAATTGGTCCCCATTGAACAGCATCCATATAAACAGATAGTACTGAAAATTCATGAGCAAGAATACAAGTTTTAATTTATAAAATTATTTTACAGAGATAGTTATATTGAGTTATTCATTCTGTTGAGATTTATTTTAAAATATAGGCGAAATAATTTTAAAATTTAACTAAAATCACACTATGGATATAACTGGTTATTTTATGGGGTTGATATAATATTGTTTCATGAATACTTAAGAAATGTTTTTCAACATTTATAAGAGTTACAAATTTTTAAAACTTTACTTGTTAATAGTTGAAACCTTGTAACTCTGGGACATTTCAGATGCCTTACAGAATTATAAAATAACCCCCTTAATTGTTCAACCAGAAACTTCTGAATTATTATAGCATGCAATTTATTTACCACACATCCTTCAGTCAGCAAGATAACTAAAGTGATCTCTATCTTTAAAATGTAAGAATGCCATAGAACCATCTGAGAATACATGAAAGAGGCCATTTGCAGAAAACCAAGTCCATGGTAAGCTGTGACTGGTCCACAATAAACTCTCCACAAAGGTGTTACTTAACTTTTTCATCTCTGTATCATTGCCATTTTGCATTTTATAGCAAGAAAATAAAGGCTCAGAGCAAATAATAGCTATCCAAGGGTGACTCTGTTATTAATATTTTGTTATAAACAGTGGTATCCACTTTAGGCCTTTGGAACAGAAAAGAATTTGATTCTTGTAAAATTTTTGAGAGAACCTAAAGAATGCTTTAGACTGAGTCTTTAGCTCTAGAACTTCCTTGTCTTAGACACAATAGAAAAAGCTGTTGCTGTTGCTGCTGGCTTTAGAACTTTTGATGATAAAATCCCAATGGATGCCTTATATCCTGACTTCGTCTGCATGTGACTTGTGTGTAATTCAAAGTTTCACATAGATCCTATGTGTAAGAGGACTTCTACAAAAAATAATCACACATTGGTACATTTCAAGCTTGTTCAAAGATTAAATTTTAAGTGCTTTTACCATAAGAAAATAAGTGAGGTATTGAATTTCTTAATTGGTATGCTTTAATCTACATTGTAAATATATGTCAGAATATCATGTTGTACTCCATAGACACAGATGTCATTCTTACTAAAAATAAAAATTTTAAACACACTAGTGAAAAATCTCAGATAAGTACAATAGCTAGAAATCGAAACATGAATGAAAGCCTGAAAACTGATGTTCAGCTTTCTAGTCTCATCATTTGAGAAGATATTGAAGCAAATATGAAGAATGAATAAAGGTTATTGGTGTCAGTCATTTATCTAAAAATTAAAGACATTGGAATAAAGAGAATATTTGAAATTGAAACTATGCCATAAAATTTGGAAGGTGTGGGCACTGTGGCTATAGGTTAAAAGATGCATAACACACACACATGCAGGCATACACACATACATACATACATATACGTATACACATGTTCATATATATATTTATACATTATTGCCATTGATTTATTTTTGTTTCCTGATTTGCAATATTAGCAAGTTAATTGTAATGGACTCATGAAAGATTAAGAGAAAAAGAGATTTTATTACAAGTATTACAAGTTCTAAGAACAATAATATATACATTATATGTTTATTGATATTAACATAACATAGGTACACATAAATATTCACAGTTGATAATAATAGTACACACTTAAATTGGAAAACAATAAGTGCTATTTTTCCTTAATGTTTTACTTTTTCAGTTTTCTGGTACTGTGATTGTTTAGAAATTTAGGTCTGTGAAGTAGTGCTGAAAATAAGTCACACCAAAATAAATGTCACAAAAGGAAGCCTGGTATCAAGGATGAGCCCAGCAGGAGGCGCTAGCTGCCCCCTAAAGTCTTTTTGATGGCATTTTTGACTTCCTGGTTCCTTAGGCAGTAAATAAAGGGATTTAGCATAGGTGTGAGTACTGCATACACAGCTGAGACGAGTTTGTTGGAATTAAATGATGCAATAGCTCTGGGACGAACATACATGAAAATCATGGCTGTGTAATAAATTATGACCACAGTGAGGTGGGATGCACAGGTGGAGAAGGCCTTCTTCCTTCCCTGGGTGGAGGGTATGCGCAGAATGGTGGACACAATGTAGATATAAGAGAGGACTGTGGTGATGAGAGGAAAAACAAGAATGACAATGGCCAACGCAAAGTCCACTAGCTCAGCTGTGGACATGTCTTTGCATGCCAATTTGAGGATTGGTGAGATATCACAGAAGAAGTGGTTCATGACATTGGAACCGCAGAAAGCAACATGTGAGATAAAATAGACTTTGATCACAGAGACTGTGAAGCCACTCATGTAGGAGAGGGCCACCAGCTGCATACAGTAACCTGTAGTCATGATGACTGGATATCGAAGAGGATGGCAGATGGCCACGTAGCGGTCATAGGCCATGGCTGCCAGGAGCACACATTCTGTGCAGGCGAGTGAGACAAAGAAGTAGAGCTGGGTCATGCATCCTGTGAAGGAGATGCGCCGTCTCTGTAGGAGAAATCCATCCAGCATCTTGGGGAGTGTCACAGAGACATACCAAACTTCCAGAAAGGACAAGCTACTCAGGAAATAGTACATAGGCTTGTGGAGGGAGCCAGTGACCCAGACAGTGAACATGATAACAAGATTCTCTGTTATCACTAGCAGGTAGACCAGAAGGAAGAGGAAGAAGAGCAGGATCTGCAGCCATGGGGCAGTGGGGAAGCCCACCAGGATGAACTCACTAACCAGAGTGATGTTCAACTCCAGCATGACTACCAGTAGTGCAAATAATTTCCAATATTATTATTTGACATAATAATTATGTCCAATGCATACGTCATCAGACAAAACCCTACAGTGTATTAGTAATTCAGTCTCTCTCTTTCCTGAAACTAAATCTGTTCATTAGAGTCTCTTCTTCAATCTAATGCAACTATCGTTCATCTAAGTATTTTTGTAAATGAGTCTCATTGAATCTAAAATTCAATTCACCACGTCACAGTGATTGGAGTGTAAAGATTCCCATCACTCCCAGCTCCTTTGTTAATGAAGCTAGATCTGTTTGTCTCTTCCATATTGATTCCATTCTCTCTTTAACTTGGAAATTTCTGAACAATCATTTATTCCTAGCTGAAATGAGACATAGAAGGTAGCATTAGAAAATCCTTTACATCAGCTGAAATTTTTTTTTCAGTGGTGAGGCTTGAACTCTGGGCCTGGGCACTCTTCCTCAGTTCTTCAACTCAAACACTCTACCACTTGAGCCACAGTATCACTTCCAGCTTTCTAGTGGTTTATTGGAGATAAGAATCTCACAGATTTTCCTTCCCAGGCTGGCTTTGAACCACAATCCTCAGATCTCAGCCTCCTGAGTAGCTAGGCTTACAGTCATGAGCCACCAGTGCCTGGCAAGCTGAACTTTTTGATCAAACCCAATTTCTACAAATTAAATTCCAATTATACTTTTAAATTTCAATATTAGAAATAGTCTCTTAGGAGTTATCTGTAAAAACTTGGTGAAGTACTTCATGCACATTTGCTTTCCAGTTCACAGACTTAATGCAATAATATTTCTCCCTTCTTCCCAAAACTTTGTTCATCATCATTATGGCTCAAATGCCTAGACCAGTGATTTAAAAACACAAGGATATTAATTCAGTATGGAAAAATAAGTGAATTAATGTATCAATGGCAGATTTGAGATTTACAGGAAATAATCAGAGGTAGAAAAAGTATCTTTGGTTCTCCACTGGCAGGGGGCACATTATTTGTCTGTCTGTATGTCTATATATCATCTCTCTATATCTGTCAGGGTGCATATCTTTGACATATTCAGGTCTTGCACTCTAAAGATACTTTAATAACTAACACATTCATTCATAAAGTCTGAACAATAGAACTGAGCTATAATCTCTATTCATTTGCTAGGTTAACTGTTGTCTCAAACCCTGGTTCAGGAGGTGAGGAAAGGCAGAAGAACTCAGGTATGCAATAAAAGTACAGGTGTATTCTGTCATGCTGGAAGGCATGTGTGTGAATATATATGTGTAAGCCATCCCACCTAGCTAATAACTTACTTATCCTTAGAGCTTGTGACTGGATGCTGCCATAGACCTTTGCTCCTCTTTCTGCCAGATTCTCAGCCATCATATTCTCGGTGGCACAAAGAAAATTGTAGATGGGTTAGAGTTCACTGTGCTAGGCACTTAAACTAGAGATCTGTGGTCCTAGTTCATGGCAATGGATTAAAAGCTGAAGTGCTGAAGTACAAATTATTAGCACCACTATCTTCTTTCCAGAGCAGCAAACATAGACTTAGCTCAGCATTATTGGCTAGGTAGAAGGGTAGATTCAAATTTATACTTTCCCCTCTAAGCAAGGTTCTAATGAGGGGTTCTTAGACTGATTTGTCAATGCTTTTAACAAAATGCTTTACACAGAAAAAAGAAACCTGTTGGGTCTCTGACAATAGCCAGTTTTGTCCAGTTGGAAGCAGTGGCAACCTAGAAGTTTCTATTCATAAGGTCATGTGTAGCAATCCATAATCCCTTCATTAGCAACACATTTTACCATATGCTCACTTCTGCATAGAATGGAAAGATTCTGGCTTTAGAGTCAGAGAAAGTTTTCAGTCTTGTTTACATCACCTAATAGCTATGTCAAACTGAATAGATCAATTAACAAGTAAGTATTTACATACTTTCTCCTGTGGACAGAATTTGTTTCCATTAAGATACACCTCTATAGCAGGGTACCAGTGGCTCACACCTAGAATACTAGATGTTCTGGAGGGTGGGATCTGAGGGTCACAGTTTGAAGCCAGACTGGACAGGAAAGTCTGTGAGACTCATGTCTCCAATAAACTACTCAGAAAAAGCCATAAGTGGTGCTTTGGCTCAAGTGGTAGACTGCTAGCCTTGAGCAAAAAAAGCTCAGGGACAGTGCCCAGGCCTAGAGTTCAACCCCCAGAACTGGCAAAAAAAAAAGGCAAAAAGAAGGAAGAAACACCTAGATTACTGGGATGTGTTGTAAGAATTGAATATGACAGTGCCCCAAAGACATTTATCTTCTATAGGCTATTATCATGTCACATACTAGACCAACACATGTTCACTGTATGTGTTCATACATTTTACCTATACATACTCATAAACACACACTTTTCCCCTCATTCATTTTTCTATTACCTTCTAGGGAATAAAACAGCTCAAATTTGTTAGAGAATAACACTATAGAATCTGTGAAAAATCTCTGGCTTACAGATTTCATGCCTTCTTCCTAACTTAATTTTTAAAGAAGTTTTATTACTCATGTATATGCTTGTTTGCTTCATATTTTCTCCATTTTTTTGCAGCAAATGTACCTTAAGTACATTTGAGGTTTAAAGTACATAGAAATGCAGAATCCTCATTTTATTGTCCTTGATATAGAAGGAAAAGCACTAAGCACTATTATCTTTTTGGTATCCTAGATTTTTAAAAGAAAAAAAAACTTCATCACACCCTAGAACTACTTTTTCTAGTTTAAATGCCCTTGATCTAAGGACAACACCATAGTTACTGATATCCCCTGAAACAAGAAATATGACTAAAAGATACATTAGAACACCTAAAAGATCTAGCTTTGCTCATTTTCCCAACCTTGAGTATAAACATACTGCATCTTTACTACTCAGATATCCTTTCTCTTGTTCAAGAATAGTACCTGTGGTCAGTTTTCCTAAGTATGTCTTCATTTTCCTTTGAGAATCAGTCTCTCTTCATATCACTAACTACTCACATGGTTCATCTTGCATTATTCTGAGAATGAAAAAATTCTTCAGACATTTACACTGATGTGGAAAAGCAAACTGATCTGCTGATTCTTAAAACCCTTAGAGAAGTATGTGTAATCTTTATTTTTTCTTCATACCACAGCTTAGAAGCAAGAAGACAGGAGCAGCATAATATATTCAGCACTTGCTCACATTTTTTCTGTCTTCTCCCTAGAGGCCAACTTTTATTCATTTTGTCCTGGCTCTGGGGAAATTTGGCAGGGGGGGGGGCATTCCCAGCCTACATTTTGGGAACTTGGGAAGTTGAATGTTCATCTGCTTATCAATCTCTATTTAATATTGGACCATGTTATTTATACTTAAGTGTGGTATGGTTCTTTTACTTTCCAGTATATGAAAGATAATCTAGAAATCAAAACCTCAGTATTTTAAAAGTAACACTGATATTTACTAATGTTTTGAATTCTTTGTATTAAATACACTTTCTGCTTTTATGCATCTCAATTTAAATTTTTATTGTTATTATAAGAGTGATGTACAGAGTTACAGTTACATAAGTACATTTGTTTTTGGACAATGTCACCCCTTCCCTCACTCTCTCCCAGTTTTTCCCTCCCATCCCTGCCTACAAGTTGAATAGTTCATTTTCTACATAGTGTCTAGTGAGTACCACTACTGCAATTTGTTCATCCTTTGTGAGTTTCACTAATGTAGGAGTTGTTGTATGTACACTGTTAAAAAAGATAGGTCATGAGCTCTGACCTCTAGAAATGTAAGATGTAACAAATAAAATAGCTAGTGTTCATTGAAGACATGTGCCATAACAGAGGTATGAAGAATACCTTGAGAACTCTAAGGAGGGTGAGATGTTTTCTATTTTATCTGGCAGCTGTTGATCTAGACTCATATCCTCAAATAGTTATCACTTTTATGATGAAACTTATTACTCTTGCCACCTTAGTGATTTTGAAGTAAAAACAGTATTTATTGTTAACTTCCACTATGGTTTGCAATGTATCTAAAATCAATTTATAGTCTCCTCAAACATACACAGAATATTGTCCATGGCAAATTATTTGGTAGGTGAAAAGGCAGATTTTAACAAATTTGCCTTTCAAAATATGCCAAGCATTTTAAAATTTTAATTTTATTGTCAGGGTGATGTACAGAAGAGTTACAGTTACATAAGTAAGGTAAGGAGTACATTTCTTGTTTAACTTGTTCCTCCGTTGTTTTTCTTCTTCTTTCCCTTCCCCTCTAAGTTCTCCCCCACCCAAGTTGTACAAATCATTTCTAATATATTGTCTTTTAGTGTCCCTGTTGCATAGGTCCTCCTTTTGTCCTTTGTCTTGCCATATTGTTGTTCCCCTTCCCTTCCCTAGTTCAGATAAATGTATATACAATACCCAGGATGCCAAAATCGAATACAGTGATAAGAGGGATAAACCACAGGCAGAAAAAAAAACACAAAAGAAAAAGGAAATCACGAAGTACATTAAGAACAACAACAAATAAAAACCTCTATGTCCATGTCTTGGATTCATTTTGCTTAACATCATCTTATATGGTCATATGTACATAGCTATTGAGCTCATCTGATAAGATTATCCTAGATGTATACATTATTACAAATAAGGAAACCATGGACCTATGTTTCTTTGGGTCTGGCCTACTTCACTTAATAAGTCCTTACATTTCCTTACAAATGGGGTGGTGTCATTCTTTCTGATGGAAGCATAGAAGTCCACTGTATATATGTACTGTCAAGCATTTTTTTACTACAGTGAGGTAAAACTAGAAATCAAGAAAATTTAAAATTCACAAATATGTGGCAATTAACAAACATGCTGTTGAAAACTCCATAGGTGAATGAACTTCATGTGTTTAACTACAGTAAGTCCAAGCTTTTATATTAAAAAGAAATAGAAATCATAAAAGGAATGACAAATATCTTGAGACAAGAAAGTAGAGATGAAATATATTAAAATTTATGGAA